GCCTATGTGTCACCTCTACCTCCCCCTTCACTCTGAAGGAACAATAATATATATTGCCTGAAAAGGTATATTGTTTGGCTTTTGAAATCTAGGGGGGGAGGGAATCCTTAGATTGCCTGTTTCTAAGATTGGCAAGATCATTACACAATCATCTACTCTCTATGGACACCCATGGAGGCACGTGTTCTTTATTCCCTGCTGAAATACACTATGAACTAATAAAACTGTAGCATTGTATTATCTGTTAGGTAACACACTGCAGTAATCAGAATATAAAAGAGATACAGTCGGTATCATAGCCATATTCTGTCAAATTAATATATTTTTTTAAGTGTGGCCTGTTTGATGTCCTGAAAGCCCTAATTATTCATCCCCAAGAGGGAAAATGAGGGCACCACATGCCTGCTGACATGTGCCAATCCAATCCCATTAGTCACTGTATAATAAAAATGGTAAATTTAGGTTGAAACTGCAAGAACTGTATATAAAATATAGATTCTGCCAACTTTACATTCTACAAATGCCTTTGAAAAGCTTTTACAGATGCATGTTGGAGAGACAAAAACACTTTAAATTTTCCAGGTCTACTCTCTACTGCAGCCTTTGCATAATGCATTATCTGATGTGGGGTGGGGCTGGAAACTCAGATGGAATCATCTGTCCAAGGGTGAGAAATGGATGGCAGCATTTGATTCACACCAGTATTTACCCAAAATAATTATTCGGTTTGGGTGAAAGGACTCTTCTTATCCAAGAAGCAGCATGCTAATTAGCAAAACTCCCTTTGTTTCATTATAACAGGTTAGCAACACATTTTAATCATAACACATTTGCAGATTTACTTTAAAAGATATGCAACGAGCAAAGATGATGTGAAAAGTGTAGCAACCTATATCAGCCAATCAAATTTCATCTGTCATATAGCTACACCAATTAGAAAGATGGAAAAAGGTTCAGCTTTTAAAGAAGATGTGGTGCTATCTTTACCAATCAATCCGATTTTACTTATCTGTTTATTGCAACATGATCAGTAATTGGATGTTCTTTAACTCAATAAATAAACCAGTTATAGCTGAACTTCTGACAGATGTAAAACATTCAGATTAATGCAGCTCTGTATTCTATAATACATTCTTAAAGGGTTACTAAACCCACAACAGTAAAATCAGTCTGTATATGCATTAACACATGCTTGTTATACTCACTCTGGAACCTAAGGGGTTAATCCTCTGCATTGTGGAAAAAAGGATGTCCCCAATCCATTTACCATAGTACAGAGCAGCAGTGGCAAGTCTGCACATGCATGACTGCACCATTCAAGTGCCTATTACTCCCTTTGTAGCAAATCTGGACATGCTCTGTTTGGTGTGTATTGCCAGAGAGGTTTTTCTTTTTTTTTCGTTTTGGGAGGGGGCACATGATCATCACAGGGCCAATCAACTCTGTCCAGACAGAGGGTCAGGGGTCATGCAGTCTCATAGGACAGTCAGAGGAGAATGAAAACCCCTCCTACAGGATTAACCAGTGCTCGGCCGGACACTGACAGAAGTCACAAGACTGCTATAAACTGCTATTGAGAAAAGGTATTTAGCAGTTTATATTTACTAAAAAAAATGCATTTCCATGTTCTGTGTACTGTGGAAGACCGGATATAGTAAATGCAGGGTCCTGGGTTTAGTAAACAAAAAAAGAGGGGTTGTGAAAAGGAATTCACAAAGAAAGCGGCTACACAATGAACAGAATGCGATACTCAGAAAAATTTCCAAAAATTATTATTCTGTTCTCATAGATGTCCTGGGTTTAGTAACACTGTAAATGTATTTTATTAAATACAAGCACTGTAAGTACTTGAATTCGTCTTGGTAACAGCCTCTTTTAGCCACTGTACAGCAGGGCTCAGACAGGAGGAAGGAGAAGCAGCAGCAGCACATGGAGCCAACCAGTTGTTCTACAGTGCAAGGAGCATACTGATAAGAGGAGAGGGCAGAGTAACAGAGAGATATGCTCATTACTCTACTGCTTCCCCCTTTACTGTCTGGAGCCCCCTAGGGTAGGGAACAGTAAGTGTCAATGTGCTGCAGAAGAGAAAAATCAGGTCTCCTCCACAGACAGACAGGGCTGTACTGTATGGCAGAGCCAGGGGCATATTTACCACAAGGCAAACAAGGTACTTGCCTAGGGTGGCATTTTTCAGGGGGACAGCAGCTGCCCCCAGAAGAAAGTATTAAAGAAGAGACACATGCACCATAGGAACCAGGTGGGATTCGAGAGAGGCTGCGGGCTGCTTGATGGTGTATGTAGAGCCTGACTCTTGTCCCGGGGACGTCTGGAGCTGTAAAGATGAGTATATTTCCCTCTATCACGGGGAAATTGGGTAGTGGAAGGCTTCTCCAGGTGGGGGGCAGGGGTGCTGCTGGTCAATGTCAGCCTCTCTGTGGGAGAGGGATGGGGGGGGGTGTTGGTTGGTGTCCGTGAAGGCAGGCGATTTTTGTGTTGCCTAGGGCAGAGCACTGGGCAGAGCTATGCACATCTCAGAACTGGATGGACAGTAATCCAAATACTTTGGCATATAAAACAGCTAACTTATATGTATGTATCTCAACTATTTATTTAGGTATTTGTGTAAAGTTCAGCTTTCATTTCATTCAAGGCAAAATACATTTATTTCCAGCTAATAGAAAGCCCCCTTTTAATCCAGAACAAAGCTTCCAACTCATTTTTATTTTTAAGTTCTTTCCTTTCACCCTTTTGGCTCCTTCAGGAGTCTAAAGGCCTTCTTATTAAAAGGGCATTAAAATAAATACTATTTTTAAGAGCCATAAAAAAATCCACGTCCACTAAACAAAAGGCGGAATTTTTGTCTTTATTCTGCAGGGTCTCTTATTCAGCTGAAGTGCTCTGGAGTGAGCTGGGCCCGGGATCTCTGGGAACTGTAATTGTGTCTCATTAATTCTTACAGTAATATTGAGTAACTACAAGGAGCATGCAATTAGTGTTCTGCTCAGTCAATAGAGCAGTTAATCAGCTGACAAAGGACTGTGCAGAGGATCCTCCAAGTGAAAGGAAGTGTTACTATTGTCAGATGTTTGCGGAATGCAGGCAGACATGTTGAACTGGAGCAAAACAATACGATTTTGTTGCTTTTTAACTTTAACTCATTTTTGTACATAGTTTGTAATTAGGATTATTTGTTTGAAGGGAAATTTGTGGTTAATGGCAAGGAGTTGCCTAATTTAATGCTTACAAAACTATTAAGTAAAAAAAGATATATGGATTGTATTTAGTTTCTTAAAGACATTGCTTCTGATACACATGCCCAAAAAACGTCATCTATACTTTGGGTGTGTGTAGTACACCAAGCCCCTACTGCTCCTCCGCAGCTCCCCATCCACATTTTCTGGCAATTCCCGGCTGTCATTTTGACAGCAGGTTAAAAAACTGTAAGATAATTGTCCCAAAGGTGCTTAAAGTGAATCTTCTCTCCACCCCTCCTCCTCTCCTCTCCTTAAATAGCAATATTTTTTTAACCTTTAAAAAAAAATTTCAGGCCACCCCCCCTATGCGAATGACGTACAAAATGCACCATTTTCCTTTTGGGATATGCCTTGCAAAGAGGGAGGACAGAGTGGTGGCAAAGCAGAAGAGGATCTCAGATGGACAATGCTGGATCCGCTGGGTGGGTGAGGAGTATCTGAGTTGTGCAGGAGACAACCCCCGGCACTCAACGGCTTAAAAAAAAGGTGTGTGTGTGTGTGCGCACGCGTGTGTGCAGATTCACTTTAATGACCTGATGGTGAAGATGATAGTAATAATCATTAGCAACTGGCCTTATATACCTGAGAGAACTGACATATATCTATCAGTCTTTACACCAATGGATAGTAAAAGGAGGTCATGTCTCATCTAGATACAAGCAATTTGTATATGAACAGTATTACTGCAATACACATTCCAGAGGTATTGCTGTAAGTAAAAGAGAACTATCACTGGCTATTTAGTCTGCTGCCACCTTTAGGCTCCATGCACATGGGGCGTTTTAATAGCGCTGGTAACGTTAGCTGTGTAAAGTCATGTTTAAAACGTGAGTTTTTCAACTTTTTTAGCATTTTTGCATTAGCGTTTTGGCACGATTTTTCATGTTTGCGGTTTTTAGCGTTTTTTTTTTAGCAAAAAAAATTTTTTTGCTCAACAAAAGTCCACAAATGCTGGTTTACCCCATTTTACCACATTTTACTGCGTTTTATCACATTTTGTCTTGTTTTTCAGCGTTAGAGCATTTTTACAGCTAAAAAACTCCTCTAGAAACCCACTAGTTCCTGCCAAAAAACACTGATTATAGTCTATGTGCACATGGATACATAGGATAACATGCTGGGGATTTTACCGACTGTAGAAAAAAAACCGCCAAAAGCCAATAACAGCCGCTGTAAAAAACGTCCAGTGTGCGGGAGGACTAAAACAGGACTGAGGATCCAAGAGAGATCTGAAATATAAAAAGGCAAAAGGGGACGCAAGGCAGCCACATTTTACAGCAACATCCTTTATCCACGTGCCCTCCAGAGGATTTACCCCCCTTCCCAACCAGGCCATTTTTTTTAAATATGGTTCTGTGTTACTTTGACAATTGCACAGTCATGCAATGAAATTAAATTTATGTCCTTTTCCCCCCACAAATAGAGCTTTCTTTTGGTGGTATTTGATCACCTCTGTGTTTTTTATTTTTTACACCATAAAGAAAAAAAGACTGACAATTTTGAAAAAAACAACAATATTTTTGACTTTTTTGCTATAAAACACATCCAGTATGATTTTTTAAATTGAAAAAATCTAATTTCGTTATAAATTTAGGCCAAAATGTATTCTGCCACATGTCTTTGCTAAAAAAAAAAACCCAATACATGTATAGCGTCTACAAATGGTGATATACAGTATATACTGGAATTTTTTTTATTATACTAGTAATGGCGGCGATCAGCGACTTATAGCGGGACTGCGGGACTGCTTTGGGCATTCTGACAATAGGTGGGAACTGACTAACTGCCACTGACATCCCCAGTGACACTAATACAGTGATCAGTACCAGGGGCGGACTGACAACTCATGGGGCCCCCGGGCAATAGGGGATCATGGGGCCCCTGTGTCCTTGCCCAAACTCAAAAAAGCCTATGAAAAAGGTACCAGGGGCATATCATGGGGCCCCCTACTGAGCCTGGGCCCTCGGGCAGTGCCCGAGTTTCCAAATGGTCAGTCCGCCCCTGATCAGTACTAATAAAAAGCACTGATATTGTATTAATGACACTGGGCAGCAAGGGGTTAACATCTGGGGCAGTCAAAGAGTTAACTGTGTGCTGTGTGTGTTTTACATTATGTGCTGTGTGTGTTTTACTACGGAGACATGCTGCTTTGTATCTTTCTGCTGTGCAGAGAAATACAAAGCAGCATGTCCTTGCTGGCAGGAGAGAGACATGTGTTGTTTACACACAGGTCTCTCCCCTGTCAGCTTTTCCCGACGATCACGGGGTGCCAGCGGGGAATTTCTGGCTGGGACCAGGTGATTGGCATCCCTAGTCGCCAATGGCAGCGCAGGCAGGGCAGCGTACGGGCACTCCTTACCCAGAAATGCAAATCACGTATATATACATGATTTTGCACAGCCCTGCCGCTCTGTAGCAGTAGTTGTACTATAGGGTGGTGGGGAAAGCGGCACATATACGAGGGGCGTTCAAGTCAAACCGAGACTTTTAATTTTACAGGTATAAAAAGGGATGCTAGTGTGATGGTAATACATGCAGTAGTAAGTGGCAAATGTGTCCTATTACTGATATGTGACGCACATGTCGCGGGCCAGTCCAGTGACCGTTACTCAAGATGGAAGACAACAGTGTTAGTGCGTGCATGGAACAGCATGTGGTGACGCATGTGTAAACCCATGGATATCTACAGAAGACTTCAAAGGAAGTATGGTGATGAGACGCTCAGCCGCAGTAAGACATTTGAATGGTGTAAACTTTTCAAAGATAGCCATATGTCCACAGCAGTCTTTCCTGTGAACATTCAGCATGTGGAACAAACATCAAAGCAGTGAAAGCATGCGGACTTACCACTACCAAAAAAATTTAGAGCAATTGTGTCTGCAGGTAAAGTGATGCCAAATGTTTTTGGGGAAAAAAGGTGGCTTTATTCATGTGGATTTTCTAGCTCGTGGTGCCACTATCAACAGTGAATATTATTGTCCTGTTCTGAGTGATTTGCATGCGCAAAAAAAACGGCCTGGTTTGATCACTAAGAGCATCCTGTTTCTCCAGGACATCGCATGAGCTCATACTGCTCATCACACTATGTGCACATTACAGCAACTTGGCTGGGAAGTATTGCCACATCCCCTTACAGCCGGGACCTCGCTCTGAGTGATTTCTACATGTCTGGACCCCTAAAAGAGTTCCTCAAAGGTCAGCATTTCAGCACTGATGACAAAGTGAAGCAGGCTGACAAATCTTTCTATGTCGAAGTTTTCCAGGCATTAAACACTGGGATATAAATGTATAAGTTTATAAATGTAGCAGGGGAGTATGCCGAAAAATAAATGTAGTTTCCACTCCTTGAAATGTGCTCTTTTACTATACAAACTCAAAAGTCCCGCTTTGACCTGAACGCCCCTCATAAAAACATACTGAATGTAATGCACTCACAAGTGTAGGGATAAAGGGCACACATGAAAAAGCTGTGTCCTCAGTAGCTACATGGCAGCTCAGGTGTCAGTACAGCTGCTGACAGGGTGCGGGCTTAGGAGGCTGATGAAGGGGAAGTTCTATTCTCAGAAAAGCGTTTCCATGGTCATTTTCAATTTTCAGCAAAGTGGAAGGAGAGAGAGCAGCTTGTAACATCCTCCGGCAGCACTTTCGTATAGCTGCAGAGGGCACATCTGATTTATATATTCATCCTCCTTCCCCACACTTGTGAGTACATTACCTTTAGGTTCACACTAGTGTGATTTCAGATGCAATTTGAGTCACACAGAATCACATGACAATGGAAATGATTTTGTTTTCAATGGTGCCTGTTTACATCCAGGCACACAGTTCAGTGTGGCACAATTTTGGAAAAGGTTCCTATGCAACTTTGGTACGATTCCAGTACAATTTTGCCCCATAGAATATGCAAACAACATCCAAGTTGCGCAACATAATCACAGTGAAAATCATATTAAAATTGGATTGCAGCAGTGTCAACCTTGCCTAAGTGTTTTTTTTTAATGTACAATTTAAATAAAAGACATTGATGCACTATGTGGCCTTTTGCTTTTTATGTTTCAGCTTTTACAGCTGGAACTTACTTTTTTTTATACAGAAGCAGATTTTTCTGCTCCTGTGTAAATCGACTTATTAATAACAGTGTCTACAGCTTCAAAAAGGAGTTACAACAAAGCAATATTAGTGCCTTGTTGGAACTACTCTGGTTTATTTATAGCAAACCAATGTGACCAGCATGCCATTGGGAGCCTGAGCCAAACGTACATATTCACCAACACACCACGCATCTCGATATGGTCCAAAAAGGTTTTTATTCCAAAGAAATCACACAAAGAAAACTATTCAAGCACACACACCACTTTTCTAGGATAGGAGAGTATTTGGGCCATTTCTTGCAGCTCATAGCACAGAGCTACCCATCATATCTCAAAGATAGCAAAGTTTTAACTAATCTGTTAAAGAATAAAAAAATCAATGACAACTGTATACTAGCTAGCACAGATGTCAACTCATTGTACACTAACATCAAACAAAAGGATGCTTTGACCGCAATAGAGTGTGCTCTAAATAGAGACATGTCATTGAAACACAAACAAATAGCCTTCATGCTGGAACTCTTGGAATTGGCCATGAAGAGTAACTATTTTTGGCATGAGGGACATTTCTATGCACAAACAAAAGGAGTCGCCATGGGTGCTAAATATGTACCCACTGTAGCTAATATTTTCATCAGCAAATGGAAAGCAGAGTTCACCTACTCCCATAATAGTAAGGAATTGGTAATGTACAAAAGATACGTTGACAATATTTTAGTGGCGTGGGAAGGAATGGAAGAAACATTTTTGGAATTTTTATAAGAGATAAGTAAGAACAAATATGGTATTTCATTCACGGCTACACATAGTAAAACATCAGTTAACTATCTGGATTTGGAAATTATGAGCAAGGGAGATAAACTTTATACCCGTACTTTCTTTAAAGCCATGGAAACGGTTATATCCCTACAAACAGTGGGCATCACCCCAGTTGGCTGGGAGCTATTCCCAAAGGTCAGATGATGAGAATTAAGATAAATTGTGATCTAGAAGCTGATTTTGAGATGCAGGTAGATGTTTTGGTGGATAGATTTAGACAGAAAGGGTACAAAAAATCTGAGCTTGAAAAAATTATGGAAGGGGTCAGAAAGATGGATAGAGGGGAACTATTAAAAACATCTAGGAAACCTAAGATAGACTATAGCATGACCTTCTGTACCATGTATAATAGGCAGTATACATGAATTGGAAGGGCATTGAACAAGCATTGGCCTATTTTGATGAAGGATCAAACACTAGCTAAGGTTCTCCCTAAACACTCACAGGTTGTTTATAAACGTTTACCTACATTGAGAGATATCGTAGTTAAATATTTCCTTGATCCACCCATTAAAAGGGTCACTTTTGGATCAAACAAGTTTCTTCAAATGTGGCAAGTGTGTTATATGTAGAACCTGTAAGCAGGGCCATAGAAAGATCACCCATTTCCAATCTAATATCTCAGGAAGGAGATATGCAATAAAAAAGTGTATTACATGTAATACTACATATGCTACTTATCTCCTTGAATGCAGCTGTGGACTTCAATATGTGGGTAGGACCACTAGAGAACTCAGGGTCAGACTCAGAGAATATATTAGCAACATCAAAAAGTGCTTTTGCCACCATAGCCTATCCAATCATTTTTGAACACACCACAAACAGGGATCCTACGTCACTTAAATTTTGTGGCATAGATAGGGTTAAGAAGCATTGGTGTGGGACCAACATTAGGCAAGTCATCTCGAGAAATGAATCCCAGTGGATTTACTATTTGAACACCTTAGTCCCCAGGGGCCTCAATATCAAGATGGATGTCAATTGTTTTATTACTAATTTTTAGTTTTTATTTATTTTAATATATTTCTGGTTTATATTTTATGATCCATATACAGTTTTTATGATTAGTTATTTTTTTACACACACTAATTTGGTGCGTATTGAGCTCAGTATGTGGCGGTATAACCTCTTTATAACAGTAGGGGACTCCATCATCATTTTTATCATTGTATATATCATAGTACTTAGTGGATGTCCTTGTAGGATTGGTATTATGTATAGGGTAACACATTTTTAGAAAAGTTATGCTATGTTATTTGCTGGGCTTAGACGTCATTTTTGCTAGTTCCCCAGTCCGCTCAATGCAATAGTTTATCTACTGCATTTTGTACCAGAGAGAGTACCAAGATGGCGGAGGACTGACTTCAGGTCTTCGGAGACTTCTGGTTTCCTGTTGAGGGTACCAAGATGGCCGACACTACACATTCGGCCAAACTACTCACAGACTGGGTGTAGGAGGCGAAGTTTATCATATTAATGTGTTCACCTATCACCACGGACCTATGCCTCTGAGGACGTCCAGTGGGAGGGGCGAAACCTATCAGCCACAGATGTGGTGGTACTAGCTTAGGCGATCTGTGGATTACTAGTGACCTACTATTGTTCATTTGAAGATTCATGCCTATTTGTCAGGGCAGGAGCTGTGGAACGGACAGGCGGGCCTAATGGCAGGGTCACGCACCGACTGACGACAACCAGCACCCACAGACCGGAGTCCCTCAGGGCGCGGAGTCTAAGTCCCAGGCTGCCCTTCACCAGGGCCCCTGATGGTGGGGATGGACTTGACGCAGCCAGGGACCAGGTCGCAGGCCCCCGAGACACCCCAGCTGCGGTAATGGCCACCGCCAATGGCGTGTAGCTGGTAGGAACCAGATAAGACAATAGCATAGTTGGGCAGGCCGGGTCAATAACA